TTCAGCTAGGAGACCGTTTTGCCGAGAGCAGCTCTTGGTTGAGCAAAACAGGCCGACAGGATGGCTTCAAGAAGTCTGCAAGCATACGAAAGTCGCCGGATTTAGACTCGTGGACTGACCCGGAGTCTCCGGACAGCGCGGAAAGATACCTACCAACAGAACAGATACCCAACGTGTGAATGCGTAAAGGACAAAGAGCAAAACAGGCCGACAGGATGGCTTCAAGAAGTCTGCAAGCATACGAAAGTCGAAGTCAAGACTCGTGGACTGACCCGGAGTCTTCGGACGCGCGGACAGGCTACAGCTACATCATAAAGCCGCTGCGGCGGTCCGCTAAGTGCGGCACAAATGCATGACAAGCGGCTGCGGAAGGCAGTGCGCGTAGGAAGCCCGCCGCGGCGGCACGCCGAAATTAAGGCGTTGACTTAGGAGCATATAGACAGCGACCGCGGAAGGCGGGGCGCTTGTAGAAAAGCCGCTGCGGCGGTCCGCTAAGTGCGGCACAAATGCATGACAAGCGGCTGCGGAAGGCAGTGCGCGTAGGAAGCCCGCCGCGGCGGCACGCCGAAATTAAGGCGTTGACTTAGGAGCATATAGACAGCGACCGCGGAAGGCGGGGCGCTTGTAGAAAAGCCGCTGCGGCGGTCCGCTAAGTGCGGCACAAATGCATGACAAGCGGCTGCGGAAGGCAGTGCGCGTAGGAAGCCTGCCGCGGCGGCACGCCGAAATTAAGGCGTTGACTTAGGAGCATATAGACAGCGACCGCGGAAGGCGGGGCGCTTGTAGAAAAGCCGCTGCGGCGGTCCGCTAAGTGCGGCACAAATGCATGACAAGCGGCTGCGGAAGGCAGTGCGCGTAGGAAGCCCGCCGCGGCGGCACGCCGAAATTAAGGCGTTGATTTAGGAGCATATAGACAGCGACCGCGGAAGGCGGGGCGCTCGTAGAAAAGCCGCTGCGGCGGTCCGCTAAGTGCGGCACAACTGCATGACAAGTGACTGCGGAAGGCAGTGCGCGTAGGAAGCCCGCCGCGGCGGCACGCCGAAATTAAGGCGTTGACTTAGGAGCATATAGACAGCGACCGCGGAAGGCGGGGTGCTTGTAGAAAAGCCGCTGCGGCGGTCCGCTAAGTGCGGCACAAATGCATGACAAGCGGCTGCGGAAGGCAGTGCGCGTAGGAAGCCCGCCGCGGCGGCACGTCGAAATTAAGGCGTTGACTTAGGAGCATGTAGACAGCGACCGCGGAAGGCGGGGCGCTTGTAGAAAAGCCGCTGCGGCGGTCCGCTAAGTGCGGCACAAATGCATGACAAGCGGCTGCGGAAGGCAGTGCGCGTAGGAAGCCCGCCGCGGCGGCACGTCGAAATTAAGGCGTTGATTTAGGAGCATATAGACAGCGACCGCGGAAGGCGGGGCGCTTGTAGAAAAGCCGCTGTGGCGGTCCGCTAAGTGCGGCACAAATGCATGACAAGCGGCTGCGGAAGGCAGTGCGCGTAGGAAGCCCGCCGCGGCGGCACGCCGAAATTAAGGCGTTGATTTAGGAGCATATAGACAGCGACCGCGGAAGGCGGGGCGCTTGTAGAAAAGCCGCTGCGGCGGTCCGCTAAGTGCGGCACAAATGCATGACAAGCGGCTGCGGAAGGCAGTGCGCGTAGGAAGCCCGCCGCGGCGGCACGCCGAAATTAAGGCGTTGACTTACAAGCATATAGACAGCGACCGCGGAAGGCGGGGTGCTTGTAGAAAATCCG